GTTCGTTCCAATCTCGCCTAACTTCGCGGTTGCGCTGGTTCGTATTAACAGTCGTTAAAAGCGCCGTGCTCGCTTTAAGGCGGGTTCTCATATTACATGTACAGGGTGATTCAACGTGTGAAACAACTTTCGAATTATGCGTCCAATGAGAGATTTAAAATTGTTTAATTTAGGAATTTAATTCGAATTATACGTCCTGATGAAAAATTGTTTGATAGAAAGGTTCGGGTATCGATTTTTTTTTTTTTTTGTTTAATTAAAAATAAAGGTTTCGAAATTTCCAAGATCATGTGTATTTTTTGTTTATTTTTTTACATCTTCTTTTATGATGAATCGAAAGAATATTAAATCCCATGTAAAGAAGTATTAAGTCACACTTAACTACACTAGGTAATTTGATTGTCCATGAACCCATGGAAAATTGATACACCATATTTTGCCTTCCCTGAAACCATGTTTTATCTAGTGAACCATAATCAAATTTGTGTTAAACAATTTTTCATTAGACGAACAATTTGAAAAGTTGGTTTCAGGTGTGCAAATTACGTAAATCACTCTGTATATACGTGCAGGATTGGGCCAAAAGTTTCTTCCCACCTATTTTTTTTATAATAAAACGCCAAAATATGAGAAAAAATTAACTTCGTTAATTTAATTCGTTTTTATTGAAATTAGGGATTTATTTTAGAAGAAAAAGCGATTTTTGAACCGCCGTATATATTTGCGCAGAAAATGATACGCGTCTCTATTGTTTTTTTTTTTTTTTTTTTTTTTTTTTTTTTTTTTTTATAATAAAACAAAAATATAAGAAAAAGTTAATTTCGTTAATTTAATTCGTTTTTATTGAAATTAGGGATTTATTTTAGTAAGAAGCGATTTTTGAACCGCCCTATATATTTGCGCAGAAAATGATACGCGTCTCTATTATTTTTTTTATTTTTATAATAAAACAAAAATATAAGAAAAAGTTAATTACGTTAATTTAATTCGTTTTTATTGAAATTAGGGATTTATTTTAGTAAGAAACGATTTTTGAACCGCCCTATATATTTGCGCAGAAAATGATACGCGTCTCTATTATTTTTTTTATTTTTATAATAAAACAAAAATATAAGAAAAAGTTAATTACGTTAATTTAATTCGTTTTTATTGAAATTAGGGATTTATTTTAGTAAGAAACGATTTTTGAACCGCCCTATATATTTGCGCAGAAAATGATACGCGTCTCTATTATTTTTTTTATTTTTATAATAAAACAAAAATATAAGAAAAAGTTAATTACGTTAATTTAATTCGTTTTTATTGAAATTAGGGATTTATTTTAGTAAGAAACGATTTTTGAACCGCACTATGTATTTGCGCAGAAAATGATACGCGTCTCTATTGTTTTTTTTTTTTCTTCTTTTTTTTTTTATAATAAAACACAAAAATATAAGAAAAAGTTAATTTCGTTAATTTAATTCGTTTTTATTGAAATTAGAGATTTATTTTTGAACCACCCTATATATTTGCGCAGAAAATGATACGCGTCCCTATTGTTTTTTTTTTTTTTTTTTTTTTTTTTTTTTTTTTTAGTTGTTTCATTTTATTTGTTACAAATATAAAAATTTATAAATTATAAACGCAACAGGAGAGGGACGAGTGAAAAATTATTAAAATTCTGCTTCTGTCGTGACTCTTTCTGTTTTTTCTTCTTCTCGTTATATTAATCATCATCGTGTGATATCATGCAACAAATCTCGTCGCAAGCGTTGTCGCAGTTATCCTGTTATTATTATAATAAAATAAAAAATTATATTCTGTTAAATAGTTACGCTAATCGTCTGTTTTAACGTTCAGTCGTCGAGTATTTCACTTTCACGACGACGATGAGTTAGTTTTTGACAATTTCTGTTCAGAAATTACTTATTCCAGAGAAATAAAGTATTATTGGATACTAAGCTTCAGTTCGTTCCGCTTTCTTTCTTATCTCGCCGTATTGCAGAGATGCAGAGCCAGAAGAGAATGCAAACCAGCGCACTGTAGTTGAATAAGTTTTTCAGAGCAGAAGAGATTGCAAAGAAAGTTCGTCGAAAGAAACGTTGAAGAAGAGCTTTGACATACACACGCTCGTATATGTATGATACAAGCAACGATTCAAAAGAAAAGATTCGGCAAGAATGGAAGATCTACGGGACAAATATTTTGTATTTACGCGCGATATACTCGAATAATATTTTTCAATGTCAGATTGAAATTTCGATTAACAGCTTTCGAATTCCTTTTCCACGGTTTCAGAAAATTAACTAACCCTGAGAAGAAATAAAAATCCTCGAATTCTATTTAGTATTAAAATAAATTTCTAACAAATCGTCTCTATTCTAATAAATTTCCAATAAATCGTAAATATTTACAATAATTTCTAGCAAAACTCGTAAATTTTTGCAATTTAAAAAAAAAAACGATTAGGCTAATTCACGAAATATCTGAAATTACCCGTTACGAACGTTCTGATGAATTTTCTATCAACAAAATTTGATCGATCTTCCTAACAGAACCGCGGGAAGCGAGACAGAAATTATATTTCACGTCAGAGTCTTCTGTTCAATGTCAGAATATTATTCCCCGGCAAGTATTTAATATCAGGATATTATCCTCTCGTTAAATTTTATTATACCTCGTGTTATCCACGTTTCCCTCGAATTATACCTCGCAATTTTACTGCGCCCGTTTAATGTCAAAATACAGTTACAGAACTTGTTTATCGTGGCCATTACGATCGTTTTAAATTAAATTCGGGCCCGGCTGAATTTAAATGAAACGACTCGCTGGATGATTCAACATGAATGTACTTCGTTTCATTTTAATATCATAGCGCAGTAGTCTATTATCGTCATGAATATTCCCTACCAAAATAGATGGCGGTGTTTTTCGAAAAGATTTTTCAAGCTCTGTAATCTTCTGAAGATTGTCCTTACATAAATGCGTAGAAAATTTAATTTTCTATTTAAAAATTTCTTTCTTTTTTTTTTTTGGTTGGTGTTTCAAGGCTTGAGACATTCACGTGTACGAGGCATACATGCTTCTCACAGAGTGAGAAACTCTGATGTGTTCACGTATTTGTAGCAAACACAAATATGGGTGCACTGTTCGTGGATGTGGGATGTAAATATATCAATGTGGACTGATACATGCACTACCGCAATATTCTGGACAGTTGCTAGTTTTTGCACAGGATATAATTAGAAAAAAAAAAAGAAAATATTACGCAATTACTCTTGTTAGCATTTATAATTGTCGAACTGTTTTATTCTGGAGTTCTGTTCTACATTATCGATCAAATTTGTAGGTAATTTGTAACTATAACGCAATTGCTGACGAAAGTATTCGAACTTATAGAAACTTTCTTTTACGAATTATACGTAGAATTATACGCTACGTGCGTATATTAATTTTTTTACTAAATTTATATTTGCAATAAATATCTTGTGACTCGTACGTACATATTCGAATTTATTTACAGTTTTATACCGAAGGAATCGCGACAATCATCTACAGTGTTCCATATAGCAATCATCATCAATCACTTTTTACTATAGTAGAATTTATATGAATAAATACTTTATATAATTAGAATACTCAGCAAGTGTGCTCGTTTAACCCTGTTAGTACCAATCGAAAATTATATCCGAGCCAAATTGATGTAGTTTGATAAGGTTTGATAAAAAGAAGCACAAGATGTTTGTAAATTAAAAAATTCTTTCAAAAAACGTAATTTCTTAAAGATTCAAAAAGACGTTCGTTGGAAATTCAAACAGTAACATATTAAGAATTAAAGGAGGGACTAAACGATACGTTGTTCGACACTGGAAGGATTGACCAGGTTTGACTGAAATTGGTTTCAAACGAAGCTGCACCCCAATAAAACTCTCGCAAACGTTTGACGATCTTCACGAACGACTACGATTTGTAGACATTACGATTAATTATACAGCGTCACAATTGTACCCGTGTCCGAAAAAAAATTAATGTAGTTTGATAAGGTTTGATAAAAAAGGACACAAGATATTTAGCAAATAAGAAAATTTTTTTTTTAAAAAACGTAATTCCCTAAAATTAAAGAGGGAGATAAATAATAATAACGAAGATACATCGTTCGGCACTAGGAAGTTTGATCAGGTTTGACTGAAATTTAGTTTCAAACGAAGCTGCACTCCAATAAAACTCTCACAAACGTTTGACCATCTTCACGAACGACTACAATTCGTAGACATATTACGATTAATTATACAGCCTCACCCGTGTCCGAAAAAAATTAATGTAGTTTGATAAGGTTTGATGAAGAAGAACACAAGATATTTAGCAAATAAGAAGATCCTTTTAAAAAAACCCAATTCCCTAAAAATTCATTAAAAATTAAAGAGGGATCTAAATAATATTAACAAATATATATTGTTCGGCACTAGAAGGTTTGATCAGGTTTGACTGAAATTTAATTTCAAACGAAGCTGCACTCTAATAAAACTCTCGCAAACGTTTGACCATCTTCACGAACGACTACAATTCGTAGACATATTACGATTAATTATAGCCTCACCCGTGTCCGAAAAAAATTAATGTAGTTTGATAAGGTTTGATGAAGAAGAACACAAGATATTTAGCAAATAAAAAGATCCTTTTTAAAAAACCCAATTCCCCAAAAATTCATTAAAAGTTAAAGAGGGATCTAAATAATATTAACTAAGATACATCGTTCGGCACTAGGAGGTTTGATCAGGTTTGACTGAAATTTAGTTTCAAACGAAGCTGCACCCCAGTAAAACTCTCACAAACGTTTCACCATCTTCACGAACGACTACAATTCGTAGACATATTACGATTAATTATACAGTCTCACCCGTGTCCGAAAAAAATTAATGTAGTTCGATAAGGTTTGATGAAAAAGGACACAAGATATTTAGCAAATAAGAAAATTTTTTTTTTTTAAAACGTAATTCCCTAAAATTAAAGAGGGGGCTAAATAATAATAACGAAGATGCATCGTTCGGCACTAGGAGGTTTGATCAGGTTTGACTGAAATTTAGTTTCAAACGAAGCCGCGCCCCAATCAAATTCCCACGAACGTTCGAACACCTTCACGAGCGACTGGTTCGCGATTCGTAGACGAAGCTACGATTAATTATACACCGTCGCAATCTCTCTTACCCGTGTCGAAAGCTGCACCGATGCGACTGTTGCTGTTGCTGGTGATGTTGAGCCGAGTGTTGAGGCGTCGACCTCGGCGTTCCCATAGGGGTGGGACTGCCAGGACTCGCGATACCCTCCAACCCTCTCGATAGCTTCAGCATCTCGGCGCCGAACGCGTGAAGCGCGAACACCGCCGATGGTGGCGGCTCGCTTTCCGGTAGCCAAAGCTCGTGGGTGTCGAGCGTCGTCAGCTCGGTGTCGGTCGACGTGCCGGAAGTGTGCTGCGGCGTGCCGCCGCTCCCCGCGGAGCTCTTGCTCAGGAGGAATCGCTTCCACGTGCCCCGTCTGTCCAGACCTACGCGATAGACCAAGGATAAATCAAATTTTAATCGAAACTTTCCCCTCCGTGGTTCATTATTGGATGTTGTTCCGAGTTGCAAGTGGTTTGACGAACGTTTGAGTTTTTCAAGTATTTTCTTTTTTTTTTTTTTTTTTTTTTGAAGCATAATATAGTATTTCAAGCATAGAATTAAGTTGAGAATTAAAATAGATGGATCTTCTAAGTATTTCTGGAGATATTATATTTGGATTCGTTAACGAACGTTTCGAACACGTGATTTTTAACACCTTGCGCTGGCAACTGATTGCGCGGACCGTAACGAGTGACCATACACAATAAAATTCGTTCTTTTGAACTCGACGGCACGTCATTCCAACGCAATAGGTTAACTGAATATGATATTCTATAATTTTCTAGATATTTTGTTTCTGGATGTTTCGTTTGCGCTGGTTTGCGACTGTTTGACGAACGTTTTGAGTTTCAACGTTCGGTTTTTTTTTTTCAGCAGTGTATATACTACGTTCATTAATATACGTTTATTTATTCTGTATATTATATTATATACATTCTCGTATATTTATTTTATACATTACACTATACATCGCATATATTTATCATATATTCTATTTATTTCACATGAATTTCTTGCTCTCTGTAGTTTTACGCTCTTAAATTTCCCACCTATCGTCTATCGTAAGAGATATTGTAATTAACCTAACCGCGACTGGCGAAGTTTCCTTATTCCTCTCTTTTCGTTGCCTTTTTTAATTTTTTTTTTCTATCCAATTTTATCGATTAATTTCGCTGGGCGAACTATTCGGGAGCGTATATCTTTTTAGCATGAACGTCCTGCCACCGTCCCCGGGGATTTTGCATGAAACCGGCCGCCATTTGCATGCCCTCGCGTATTTCGTCGTACGTCGAAATTTCTTATCGTCGTTCGAGGGCGTCGCTAGACGCCAGGCCGAGTGATAAGCAGCCCGGCGCTCTCGTTCAAAGAAAAATGTCTCTCGGCGCCAGAGCCGGTGCCAGATGACGGATCACTGGGTTAAACGATCGTTTTTAATCTCTTTTCAACGACGGCGGAGACGGTCAAGCACTTGGAGAGACAAATGGCTTTCGGTTCGACTCTCTCGCGAATTTATAGCGTCGCCGTCGCGATAAATAAACGTCAATTTCGAATATATTTGTGCGCTTTTCACCGAGCTTTCGTAGAAAGGAATTCTCTTCCCTCTTTTCTTTTAAATCGGCCGAAAGAATGTCTGTATATCGATATATACGTCACTTGACCCGATCGTTCATTCAACTCGAAAATACCAGTGTATTTTCACCCGCTATGTGTTCGAAAAACCAGGTCTGTAATTTATTTCGTTCGATAAAACCACGACTATAGAGAGGATTGCCAGGGATCGAAACCGGTGCAGCACCAGTACAGGGGATTGACAGTTAATTTCCTTCTTTCGATTCCAAAAAACAGTATGCATTTTTAAAGCGACTAGTCGGGGATATCGTTCGCAGAAAGGAATAAATAACCCATCCGGCTTTGCGTGCGTTACATTCGAAGTGCTAATATTCTCGTCTACGTTTTTTTCGCGAAGAGAGAGGATTCTTCTCGTAATTCTCGCGTAACGTCACTCGGACACTAATTTGTATTTATTTGCAGTTATTCCCCTTTGGGATTAAAGGGGGGGAATTATTCAAATTTCGTGGTGAAACTCTGGCCATCGTTCTAGATTCGTCAATGTGGCAATTTTACCTTCCACCTTGTTTCTATTTTCATTAGTGTTGCACCTTGAGACCTGAGATTATAATAAAATTATAATTTATGTTAATTGCAATTTATAATGGAATTATAATTTATATTGATCGCAGTTTATGATAAAATTATAATTTATATTAATCGCAGTTTATAATAAAATTATAATTTATATTGATCGCAATTTATAGTAAAATTATAATTTATATTAATCCGAATTTGTAATAAAATTATAATTTATATTGATCGCAATTTATAATAAAAGTATAATTTATATTGATCGTAATTTATAGTAAAATTATAATTTATATTGATCGCAATTTATAATAAAATTATAATTTATATTAATCGCAGTTTATAATAAAATTATAATTTATATTGATCGCAATTTGGAATAAAATTATAATTTATATTAATCGCAATTTGGAATAAAATTTATATTGATCGCAATTTATAATAAAAGTATAATTTATATTGATCGTAATTTATAGTAAAATTATAATTTATATTGATCGCAATTTATAATAAAATTATAATTTATATTAATCGCAGTTTATAATAAAATTATAATTTATATTGATCGCAATTTGGAATAAAATTATAATTTATATTAATCGCAATTTGGAATAAAATTTATATTGATCGCAATTTATAATAAAAGTATAATTTATATTGATCGTAATTTATAGTAAAATTATAATTTATATTGATCGCAATTGGGAATAAAATTATAATTTATATTGATCGTAATTTATAGTAAAATTATAATTTATATTGATCGCAATTTATAATAAAATTAAAATTTATATTACTCACAATTTATAATAAAATTATAATTAATTAATCGCAATTTATAATAAAATTATTTATAATAAAAATCACTCAGTTAAAAAGTTACTTAGTTAAAAAAAAAAAAAGTAAAATTCAACGAATTCTAAGAATGTTATAATTCGTTCTTCTGTAAATGAACATTTTTTCACACTTAGCAGTGAGTCACACTTGCTAATCAAAAATCAGAACGAGACGAAGAACGATTCCGTTAGGAAAATAAATTTTCCTAAATTACGCGCAAAATTTGCGAAAAAATTGCGATGGGGGGGGGGGGGGGGGGGGGGGGAGTTTCTCGCGAGCCTAGGCGCGAATTGGGACGCAAAACGACGCCTCTTTTCGACCAGAGGGGAGGAAGTGGCCGATTTGCATCGACCGATTTCACTTGCAAATTGATCGTTCGTGTCTCGCAACAAAAGACGCCCTAAGACGGTTTAAGAACCGAACAGAAAATCAGCCTCGTTCTAAATTTGTTCCGTTGAAGTCACTTTTGTCGAGTTTTCGAATTAATTAAGTCTCTCTCTCTCTCTCTGTGTGTGTGTGTGTGTGTGTGTGTGTGTGTGTGTGTGTGTGTGTGTGTGTGTGATTGTTTGACTCCGCGAAGACTCGATACAGTTAATTCGACGTTTAATTTCAAGTTTATAATAAAATTTCGCCGGGAGAAGTCCAGTTAACGTTTCGTTCGATTCGCGCGATGTGACAAATTTCATTTATTCGAGAAACATTAATTAAAAACACTGAAACACACGAAATTGAGGAATTTCAGACGTGCAGGCAAATAAATAATCACACGCACAGAACATTTTCAATCGATAATTAAAAATTGAAGATACACAAAATTGGAGAGCCTCAGGAAATAAACGTATAAATGTAAAAATATAAGGCATAAAAATATAAATATAAAAATATAAAACATAAAAATATAAATATAGAAATATAAAACATAAAAATATAAATATAGAAATATAAAACATATAAATATAAAAAGTATAAAACACAAAAATATAAAACATAAAAATATAAATATAAAAATATAAATATAGAAATATAAAACATATAAATATAAAAAATATAAAACACAAAAATATAAAACATAAAAATATAAATATAGAAATATAAAACATATAAATATAGAAAATATAAAACATAAAAATATAAATATAGAAATATAAAACATATAAATATAAAAAATATAAAACACGTGTGAATAACTTGCAAACAAATAAATAAATTGAAGAACAACGTAAACACCCCCCTGTCAGACCAATTAACGAATCACTATACGCAGAAGCAAATAATTTTTCCTTGGAGAACTTTCGTCACGTCCTTTCCATCTTTCGGGACTTTTCTTTTGAAGATCGTCTCGAGGCAGAGGAAAGGGTTTAATTTCTTTCGCGTCGGACAAAGAGGCCGACCAATCGATAGAACTCTTAATCGCCAGTCTTCGTCGAGGCAAAGGCCGGGAACCGTTGCCGGATTACACCGAAATTCTCTGTAATACTCTCTCTCGACAAGAGACGAGCGACACGACACGACACGATCTATTCGCGTTTGCGTTTCGTTCGATTCCCTCTGGCTTTGATTAAAAATCGCCCCCTCCGCCGCGGAAATGTTGTTACCCGACTTTGATCCGAGCAGCAGACCGAAATCGGCTCGGCGATTTCATCGTTCGCCCGCTTGCGGCTTGTTTCATTTTCTTTTCTTTTTTTTTTAAGTGGTGAACAGAGAGGAGGGGGGGATCAATCAATGGGAGATGAGGAATTTTTACAGTTGTTATTAAATGATAAATTAAATTTTATTAGTAATATTAGTATCATAATATTATAAATAGTAAATTAAATTTTGTTAGTAATATTAGTTGTAATATTAAAAATAGTGAATTAATTTTTATTAGTAATATTAGTCAGAATATTATAAATAGTAAATTAAATTTTAAAAGTAATATTAGTCAGAATATTATAAATAGTAAATTAAATTTTAAAAGTAATATTAGTCATAATATTATAAATAGTAAATTAAATTTTAAAAGTAATATTAGTCATAATATTATAAATAGTAAATTAAATTTTATTAGTGGTATTAATTATAATATTATAAATAGTAAATTAAATTTTAAAAGTAATATTAGTCATAATATTATAAATAGTAAATTAAATTTTATTAGTAATATTAGTCATGATATTATAAATAGTGAATTAATTTTTATTAGTAATATTAGTGATAATATTATAAATAGTAAATTTTATCAAATAATTACTATTATATTAAAGCTCGATTTCTATGGGAACAGTGAATATTTTACAAGCGTCAACAAAATTTATGCACAGCCACGTCTCAGTATTATAACAATACTTAATACTAAAACTATAGCCTAGAATTCCTCCATTAACAAACATTGAAACAAAAAAAGGGAAAATAGTAAAAACTTTGT